ATTTACTATAATACTTTGAAGTCTTCATGATTATTATTATTATTTTTTTTGAGACGGAGTTTCGCTCTTGTTACCCAGGCTGGAGTGCAATGGCGCGATCTCGGCTCACCGCAACCTCCGCCTCCTGGGTTCAGGCAATTCTCCTGCCTCAGCCTCCTGAGTAGCTGGGATTACAGGCACGCACCACCATGCCCAGCTAATGTTTTGTATTTTTAGTAGAGACGGGGTTTCACCATGTTGACCAGGATGGGCTCGATCTCTTGACCTCGTGATCCACCCGCCTCGGCCTCCCAAAGTGCTGGGATTACAGGCTTGAGCCACCGCGCCCAGCCTTCATGATTATTTTTAATAAGGGCTCTTAAAATGAACTCTTTGTGAGCCTGGACAAGGTGGCTCACACCTATAAGCCCAACACTTTGGGAGGCTGAGGTGGGTGGATCAAATAAGTCAGGAGTTCGTGACCAACCTGGCCAACATGGTAAAATGCTGTCTCTACTAAAAATACAATACAAAAAAAAAAATTAGCCAGGTGTGGTGGCCCCTGTTATCCCAGCTATTTGGGCCTTTGCCTGAGGCAGGAGAATAGCTTGAACCTGGGAGGTGGAAGTTGCAGTTGGCCCAGATCTTGCCACTGCCTTTTAGCCTGGGCCAGAGCAAGACTCAAAAAATAAAACAAAAACAGAAAATATAACTCTTGATGATGATGATGATGATGATGATGATTTTTTGAAACGGAGTTTCACTCTTGTTGCCCAGTCCGGAGTGCAGTGGCAAAATCTTGGCTTACCATAACCTCTGCCTCCTGAGTTCAAGCCATTCTCCTGCCTCAGCCCCAGAGTAGCTGGGATTACAGGCATGCACCACCACGCCTGACTGATTTTGTATTTTTAGTAGAGCCGGGGGTTCTCCATGTTGGTCAGGCTGATCTTGAACTCCAGATGTCAAGTGATTTGCCCGCCTTGGCCCCCTAAAATGCAGGGATTACAAGTGTGAGCCGCCGGGACCGGCCTAACATGTTTTATTCACTTATTTATTTATTTAGAGATGGAATCTCGCTCTATCACCCAGGCTGGAATACAGTGGCGTAATCTCAGCTCACTGCAACCTCTGCCTCCCAGTTCAAGCAATTCTCCTGCTTCAGCCTCCTGAGTAGCTGGGACTACAGATATGTGCCACCACGCCCAGCTACCTTTTGTATTTTTAGTACAGACAGGGTTTCACCATGTTGGTCAGGCTGGTCTGGGAATCCTGATCTCGCAATCCGCTCGCCTTGGCCTCCCAAAGTGTTGGGATTATAGGAGTGAGTCACCACGCCCAGCCAAATTCTTTTTATTTTTAAATATGTTTTTGTAGAGATAGAGTCTCACTATGACCAGGCAGATCTCAAACTCCTGGCCTCAACCCATCCTCCTGCCTTGGCCTCCCAAAATCCTGGGAGATGTGAGTCACTACAGATGTGAGCCACTGCACCAAACCAATAACATCTAAATACTCAATTTTGCCTTCATAAAAAAATCCTAGTGAGAAAGGAAATTTCCGTTCTCTCTTTTGTGTACTGTTTGCCTTGGGTTTTAGTATGAGAGTTATGCTGCCTTGTGGAATAAACTGGGAACGTTTCTCCCTTTTTTGAGATTTTTTTGGTCTCTCTAAAATCCAGCCAGTTTTGGGTACTCCATCTCACTCTCTTCTTCCAGAGGTGCCCCAACAGTACCATCAATCATTTTACAGTGAGGATTTCTCACACTAGCTCTCAAGGTTCCTCATAAAGTGGGCTCACAATGTTGATCTCCAACAAAGCCTTTATACCATTCAACTTTATCACGTTCCTTGCACATGTCACAGACCTTCCCATTTTAAAGGCTTTGCTAATTTCATGACATTTGCCTTGTTAAATCCTATTAGAGTTTGGGCTGGTACTGGGTGTTGATGATTATGGCACAAGGGAGCTAACATTTCAGGCAGAGACTGTGTACCTGCTTAACACCCTTCATTTTATTTAACCATCAGAATCCTGGGAAGTTTCGTTATTTTTATTTGCTGGATAGGAAAATAAACGTTATACACTAACAAACGGAGGTGCCACTAAATACCAGTACTGCCTGATTCCAAAGTGATTGCTGCTTCCACTACACTGTTTCGCCTCCTCCATTGTGTTCCCTAGTCTCTCATGTTGACCTTAAGCCCTCCGCGTTCCATTAGCAAACTATAATTGTACCACACCATCTTACATTTACACTCTTGTATTTTCTATTGTTTCATATATGTAGTTCTTGTCTCACACACAGCAGTTAATAATCTCTCAGAATAATCTCTTTTTTTCAGAATAATCTCAGTGTTCATCCAACTTCGTATTTGGATATCATATAAATCGCGGGAAAAAATAAAAGGTGATTAAATACAAATAATTTTGACTGTGTTAGTCTTAGCTGTGTGTTGTAAGAAAAGCAAAAGGTCTCTATCGAAATAAGTTTAACTGTCAATGATCTCCCTGAGGCTTTTTAGCGACCCTTGCAAAATTAGTGCCTAAAAAACACAGTGACTTGACATTTGTGACTACTGGTCACCTCCTCACTCAAGCACATCGAAGAGCAGGATACGCTGGAAATCGCACCTACCGTCCAGACTCTCTAACAAGGAAAGCTAGACGAAGGGACGGCCTCTCCCACCCGCAGCGCGATGCGGGTCCTCCCCCCACCAGCCTCAGTCCGATGGAACAATCCGTGCGATCGCTTTGACCGGGCGCCACTCGGAGTCACGTGGAGCCGCAGCGCCCAGGCGGAGCCTGGCGGAATGACGCGCGCTCAGGTTGCCAAGGGGCGGGGCGAGGCGCCGCGGAAGAGGCGGAGCGAAGGAAACCGGCCGTGGGGCGGGGTGCGGAGCGCAGGGGCGGGCAGAGAGGGGCGCGCGGGCGGGGGAGGGCCCGGCGTATTATGGGATGCGGCGGTGGAATGGCGCTGGGCGCGTGATTTTGAACAAACCCGGGTCTGTGTCTCGGAGGCGCCGCCGCCGCCGCGGCTGCTGGGAGCCCAGGGAGCGCCGCGCGACCAGGAGGCGGCGGCGCCGCCGGCTTTGGTGAGTGTCAGCCCCTGGGATGGGGTCTTCTGGGCGGGCGGGCGGGAAGGGGGAACCGGCCCCCGCTGCCAGTGGTTGCGCGGGCGGAGAGCGCTGGACCGCTCCCTCCGGGATCCCCGGCCGGTGGGCCTCGGCAGGGAGCGGGAACCCTCAGGCGGGGTCCGCCGCGCCCCTTCCCTGGGCCGCGGGGGGCGGAGGATCCTCTGGACTTGGCCTCTTCCCGCCGGCTCCCGGGAGGGTGGCTGTCACTCGGCAGGGCCAGCGCTCGGCCGGCTGCCTGCTCGGCAGTCTAGAGGAAGGGCTCCCGCGGCTGTTGACACGCACGCTGCGCGACCCAAGAAGCCGGCCGTGGCGGCCCCGGGTTTCTGGGAACCGGTTTTGCTGCTGTGTCATTTTGTGCCAGTCCCTCCTCTCCCTGCTGTCCGCCGCCGCGTTCTTCCTACGCCGCTTTGTACGGGCTCTCGTTCGTGCGTGTCCGTTTTCCTCGCGAAGCCCACCAGCCAAATGTCATAATGTTCGCGATGTGCACGGGGGAAGGGAGCGGGCCGGGACTTAGCTTGGCCAACAACGGTAAACAACCAAGCAGAGTGCGGTTGGACGGGGCAGTCAGTGGGGTAATAAAGTTTAAAGATGAAGATATTGAGAACACTTTACACGCTCAGCATCTGGCAGTCTGCATGTAAAAACAGCCATTGGGGTGGGTGGTAGACTGCCTTTGCTAAAGGCTGAATCTACCCACTTTTATATGGAGTTGTCATTGAACCAAGGTAGGGAAATGAAATGACTTTTTCAACTTCAACCTTATTCTTCTTACACTAACTTGTATAGTAGAGTGGCCCTGTTCGCAACCTTGAAATTAATTTTGCCCATTTTGGATATATCTTTTAGAGCTTATGTTGCAGTTGAATGATAAAGAATTCAGCTTTTGAATGGTTAACGCTTTCTGAAATGGCAGCTAGTTTCCTTTTTTAAAAAAATACTGGTCTTATTAGAAGTCTTGCAGCTTATATTTTGTTATTTTTTAGATGATTAAGAATTAACTTGTATTCTCTTTTGTTTACTCGCTCAGCTGACTGATGACAAGAGCTGGTAACTCTTACCTACCTAGTAACTCTAGGGTCGTCTTGTTCTGAAGCAAGCTGTTTATTTTCACTGTATTGAACAAATATATCAGCAGCAGTTTTTTTTTTTTTTTAATTTGATTACTTAGATCCTAAAAACATTTGGCAAAGAATTTTAACTTCGAGTTATATTTTCAATAGTTTAGAAATTGATCATTCATTAATGTTTCTACAGTTAGTTAAGTACATTTTAAATCTAGGTGCGCTTTGACGTCTTAAACCGATGACAGATTGGAAGTCACAGTGTTCATGGACAGAAATGACCAGATAAAATTGTTGGAGAAGAATATACCTCAGAACTTTATTTGTAAAAATTAGGTGTTTTGATCACCTCATCTGCATGAGGATTACTGTCTGTAATTGACAAAGGTGTCAAAGGTCAAACATGCATATGGAAATAGCTCATCCTGTCAAAGTAGTTCTGTGGGTGGGGTAAAATGTCAAAGTTGGTGAATAACATCAAGGGTCTTCACAATAATGTTTTTAGTGCCTGGGATAGCCACAGTGAATGAAGCGCATTCCACCATTTCTTTCAAGTTGCTGCTCTGAAAATGAAAGAGTTTGGGTTCTTTATTGTCCTTGTGCCACCTTCTGCATGGCTTTTGCTCTTCCAAACAAAAATATGCCGGACCTGGGACCCCGCAGGTGGCGCGACTTCCTTTGGCGTCCCCGCCTGGGGGTGAAAGGTCTCGGCGTAGCCCGTGTGCACTTGCACGGCCCGTGTGCATTTGAAGGTTGGCGGGGCGGCGGGAGGCTTCCCCGGATATGTGGGTGTGCGCCTCCCGCGAGGGGCGGGTGGGGAGGGGAGGAGGAGGAAGGGGGAGGTTACTGGTGGCGGCGGCGGCGGCGGCGGCCCGGGCTCCGGCTGTCGGGGAAGCTGCTGAGCTGTGATGGTGATGACGAGGTGAAAATGGCGGATCTTTCGAAATACAATCCCGGCCCCTGACATACCAGAGGCGGCGGCGACGGCGACGTCGCCACCCCGACTCCCTCCTCGGCTCCCGGGTACCCTGGAGCGCTCCAGTTTGGACAAACTGAGAAAGGAAGCGGCTGACCAGAGCTATCCTGCACGGGCAAAACAAGCCCTGCCGGGGCTCGGGATTGCCCAGGACCTTCTGGAGCCCCCACCACGGAGCCCGAGGGAGGAGAAAGCGGCAGCCGCTGGAGGTAGAGGAGGAGGGGGTACCCGAGGGCTTCTCTGTATGGAGATCTCTTTATTTGCGGGGATGGGGTTGGGTGGGGAAAGAATTGCGCGGTGGATCAAGGAATGACTTGTCCGGAGTGCGAAGAATCAGTAGCCTCGTCATGACATCAACATTATTCTTTGAGTGTTAAGAGGGCTCCAGTTTGCTCTTATACCTAAGGCTGCTGCTGAGGCCTAGAGGATCCGCTAGCACTTATCCTGATTACCTGATAGAATTTTTCAAACATCCACTCAGGCGGGTGTTGCTTTGATGGTATTCAGCAGTTCTTGTGGTTGTATGTTTTTTGAAGGAGGCAGAGCGTTGGCATTTTATTCTGCATTTAAGATCTGTGTTTTAGATCCTAGTCTGTAACTTGCTGGGGTGTGGATAGTCACATCTTAAAGAATAGGAACCGGCTTTATAAGAATTAGAAAAAAAAAAAATTAATGCCCTGTTATCCATAGAGTAACTAACCTCTTTGCTTCTGTCATTTGGCAAATAATAATTGAGATACTGTCAGTCATATTTTATTCCCATGCTTTCCAGGGAAGCTCTTCCCTGTATTCCCCCCCCCCCCCACCCAATCTAGTTCGTGAATTCAGAGTAAAGTTATGAAAAATTTTGTGGTAGATTTTATATTGCAAGTGAAATACTGCTCTAGGAGCTCTCTTTTGGTCCTGAGTTTTTACCTTCATTGTTAAGAAGGAGAGTTGTGATAGTGTGATGCAAGCATTTGTTGTGAGTACATTAAGTTGGTAAAGATAAATTGAGACCTGTGTTATTTCTAAATGCTGGAGTGGTTAGCCTCGCCCTTTGTTTAGAGACCTGGATTGATTGACTCTATAACAGTCACTGTTTTATTAGGTTATCTAAAGACCCATGTATGTTTTAGGTTATGCTGAAAGGAGCCTGTCTCCTTGCACACAACAGTGTTACAGAAAGTTACATGTGATCAAGTTTTTAGGCTGGGCAAAAAAATGTTAATACATTAATTTGGGGCCTATGCTTTTCCCCTAGCTTTTGTCGGATCAATGACATTGACTGTATGTTACTGAACAGAGAGATTAATATTTGAGAAATGGCCATGAGTAATGTTTATGATTAGCCCTAAATTTCCTTATTCAAATTGTCTGCAAAGAATATATGTGATATTATTTCCTTATTCAAATTGTCTACAAAGAGTATTTGTGAGCACACTTCACAGTGTATCATATGATATCACAAATTTTGTAGTGTACTTAGAGGGGAAATATTTTGTGTGAATGAGTCTGTATAGTTTGAATATTTGGCTTAAACTTACTAGAAGAATAAGAGACCCAAAAAATTTTTTGGGAGAAATACCTGAGAGGTACTTAGAAGGTTTAGTTATTGATGATGATAATGATTATTTTTTAAAAATAATTTTTCTGCTATATTATTCGGTAGATATTTGGTTTTGTCTTTTTAAAATTACAGCTTTTATGTTGCAGTTATTTGATCCATGCCTTGTAGCTGCTGACTTAGTAGTAAGACTAAGAATTTTTTTTTTTTTTTTTTTTTTGAG